ATGAACCAGGTAATGGATTAATTTTCTTTAATTTCATGATTAATCATTATCATATCATACGATAAATCATCAAAGCATATGTACTCGACGAAATATTTATCACCAATCTCAAATAAAAAAAAAACATAAAATCATATGAACGGCTCCAGATATTTGGATGCAGGCAAATTCGTTGTCTATCAATTTTTGGTTCTAAGATTTCAAATATTTGGTATCAAATTTACAAGGAGACATAAGTAAGACTATTTTTTTCCTTGATTTTGTTTTCCGTACTTAGCACCAATGCTACCGACTCCAGAGACGCAGCTCTCTGGCCCTACATATCGACCCATCAACTCATGAACCGGGGGCCAACGGCTTTACTTCCCTATAATATCTCGGCGGCGCCGACTGGGATTGAACCCAGGCCTGCTGGGGTGAGAGGTATTTTTTATATATATATTTCGATTTTTTAATTCTAAACCTACGCTATATACATGGCCGTGTATGCAGTTCAAAATCGATTACACCTGCTTTCATCGGTAAAAATCAATACCGATGGGAGGTAACTTCTAGCGAAAGTGCATTCGTTGGTGGTGAATTTCATCTACTCAATATTGGGCCAGCGAGTATTGTAAAAACATGAAAACTCCACGACATGTTTTCGAAGCGTTCTTTACAGCCGAAATTATTGAAAAAGTGGTTTCTTGTACAAATGGCTATGGCGTACAAAGGTTCTCAGAAAGCTGAAAACCTGTAACAAGAAACGAAATGCTAGGATTTATTGCCATCTTGATTGCGACCGGTCGAAATAAACAGAACCATGTCAGTTTGGTTCAACAATGGACATCAGATAAAGTTTGGCGGATTGAGTTCTACCGACTGGTAATGAGTAAAAATCGATTCAAGCAAATGTATATCGGCCTACGGTTTGACGATCGGTCCACTCGTCCTAAGCGGTTCCAAGTTAGCAATGACAAACTTGAACCAATTCGATCGGTGTTCGACAAGTTTGTTGTCAGGTGTCAAGATAATTACGTCGCTCCCAAAAATTTGACCGTAGACGAACGACTGTGTCTTTTCAGAGGTAAGTAAGGATTCAAATTAAAATATTGCTTAAGAGTATGAAAGAAAATGTAGTTTGTATTTAATTCTTTGACACAAGTGTTTATAAGCAACGTTTGGCAGATTGTATAAGCAATAGGGTAAGTGTGCCAATTATGGCACAAGTTCTTCAGTTTTTGGCCTGGCGCCTAACTTAAATTTAATATAAATTGTCTTGGCTTTATTTGCATAGATATACGACAAAATCTATATTCTAATCGTGCATCTAAATAAATTTGGTAAAGAATGAATAAAAAAATAAAGGTAGGGCCAATTAGAGGACCACTAGGATCAAAAACTAGCTCATTTACCCTAGTTTTCATGGTCAGATCTGCTTTCCTTGATATATGTATAAAACGAATTCACGATTTGATAAAAACGGCTTTAAATTTCTTCGTATCCACAGGATATTGCCAATTCCGCGTTTATATAAAATCGAAACCCGGCAAATATGGGATCAAAATATGGGTTTGTTCTTCAATTCAAGGATATGTACTAAACTTGCAAGTATATACGGGCAAGGTGAATAATATGCCCGAAAAAAATCAAGCTATGCGGGTGGTCACTGATCTCGTCTCTTCATATTTGAATGAATGTAGGGAGGTAAAAGCAGATAATTTATTCTCATCCATAGACCTCGTCAACTACCTGTGGCATAACAGCACTTACTATACTGGAACAGTCAGATCAAACAAACCCTTCATTCCACCAGAATTTCTAATTCAAAAGGACGAGAGTCTAATTCAATCATTCAAGGATTCAGCACATTTATGACATTGACGTCATATTTTGAACGCAAGAGAAAGAAGCCCATCGTCTTGATTACTTCAAAAAGAATCCAAGAAACAGATCCTCGAATTGAAAAACCGGATGTTGTGAAATATTACAATCAAGCCAAGGGTGGTGTTAATGCAGGAGATCACAGAACGAGAAATACAACCGATGCAAGGAGAAGTCCAGTGTGGATAAAAAAAAATTCTTTGAAATTATTGACATTGGATGCCTGAATGCATACATGATTTTCATAGAGCTGTACCAAAATTGGGAAAATTCAAATCCCAGCCGACATTCCGAATTTTTGCGAATTCTTTCAGAAGAACTGTCGATAGAACAAATGGAGAATCGATTGGAAGCTGGTCACCTTCCACAAGACGTAAGTGATGGAATTCGGGATCAATTGAAACGGTTTTGAGTTTCTTAGGCAGCTTATATATTTGCATCGTCTTTCTTATGTCTCTTTATAAATTTTAAACCAAATATTTTAAATATTAGAAACAAAAATTGATAAACAACGGATTTACCTGCGTCCACTTCGGATAAACTCAAAAACTCAAATCTCAAGCATAAGTTAATTCACTTATGAGTTTTGCCTTGCAATCACCAATGAGGTTCAAAAATTAATTGCTTTATATTTTGGAGTTATTCATAGTTAGTACTGTTATCTTTTTTTTTTACATTTCATACAATTGGTAATTTGTAGCTCCAGTACCAGATGATCGTCCTCGTGCCACCGTGGGTCTCTAAACAGTGCTGTTATTCTCTCTGGGAGGCTCCTTAATGAATGATATATGAGGATGATTTTCCAAACCATTCCTGGCCATAATGTTGAACATATAGTTTTTGTTATTGCTGTGTTAGTGCCATTGATCATATTTCGTCGAGTAGATGTGATTTGATATGTCGCTTGATATGGTTGTGTGAGATATAAAATTCGATCATACGGAACCATAATTCGGAATATCTGGAATCGGTTCCACGGTGGCCCTATGGCTCTATTGTTGTTGTTTTGAGTGCCATTGGTCATATTTCATCGAGTAGATGTAATTTGATATGTCGCTTGGTATGGTTATGAGCGATATCAAATTTGACCATACAGAACCATAATCCGGAATATCCGGAACTGGTTTTACGGTTGCCATATGGCTTTGTTGACGTCGTTTTGAGTGCCGTTGGTCATATTTCATCGAGTAGATGTGATTTTATATGTCGCTTGATATAATTATGAGATATTTCAAATTTGACCATGTGGAACCATAATCCGGAATATCTGGACCGGTTTTACGGTGGCCATATGGCTCTGTAGACGTCGTTTCGAGTGCCATTGGTCATATTTCGTCGAGTAGATGTGATTTGATATGTCGCTTGGTATGGTTATGAGCGATATCAAATTTGACCATACGGAACCATAGTCCGGAATATCCGGAACCGATTTTACGGTGGTCATATGGCTCTGTGGACGTCGTTTTGAGTGCCATTGGTCATATTTCGTCGAGTAGATGTGATTTAATATGTTGCTTGATATTGTTAAGACAGACAATAAATTTTACCGTTTGGAACCATAATCCGGAACATCCGAAACCGGTTCCATGGTAGCCATGTGGTCTTATGAATGAACTCTATCATTTCCAGGAGTTTCACGAAAAAAATCAATATGTTGTCGCAATGATATGTAAGATATATGATAGAGATTGAAAAAAATACCCCCGTGCCAACACATTCTTGAATATATAGAAAAAAGGGAGGGTCATGGGGGGGAGTACCACCCAACAAATGTAAGAACCACTCACCGGAATGATGTTAAAAAAAAAGTCATTTAAATCGGCCATGGAATCTCTGAGATACAAATTTTTGAAAATAAAAAGTTTGTCCCGGGCTTTTACGGGTTAAATTGTTCGTAGTGAGAAATCAACGATGGGTGTGAAAAGGGACAGTTACATATCGAGATATATATGTATATGACACTTCCTAAATGGCCAGACAATTCTGAAAAAGTTCTAGATTTTCTCTGGGCGGTTCACAGATCTGCTAAACCATGTTCTCGTGGTTATTAAATTATTTTAAATATGAACCTTAAACCCTTGAATTAAGGTTCAAGTCATTTGGAGAGGATTTTATTTCAGTTTATCATAGCACAGGAATCAGAATTTCTTTCTTATGGAATGTGAATTAAATGTTATTATGTTGTATTATGCAAAATGAAAATTTGCAACCTTGCTCGAAAATAAATTAAAACCCCCACCCCCTGCACTTTTCCAAAATTTCTGATACAGAGAGATACAGACATTGTATAAGCTTTCGTACAGATATTCTGTAAAACTAGCTGGCCTTCCCTACAGGAGAGCTAAAATTGTCTTACTTTGCCTTTTGAAGCATCAAAGAATTCTTAAAATTTCTAAACTTGATACTTATTTATTATTTGCCATCACTTTTACCAATGCATAGAGCAAGAAAGAAGGATTGGTAATTTCCATTCAATTCCACTACCTTAATTGCATATCCTTGACAGATACGCGTATTTCGACTACAATGTAAAGACATCTTCAGTGTCTTGAACAAATAATAGTCATTTAATTTCCTTGCCATTGTCATCTCAAAGTTAAAAACTTCCAACGCATCAAATTCTTCACAAGAGAAGGTTTCCAAAAACATATTCATAAGAAACGAACAACGCCTGGTTGGAAATTGGTTGACCGCGTCCAGTCTGGGAGCGATTTACCGGAGTGAATCGACCGTTCCAATCGATACTCATTCTATTCTATTATTCTAGTTACCTTTCACACTAGCTAGGTACTTGCACTTGCACCGGAGCTGCGTGACCTTCCGCCGAAAATACGGTGAATTGCTACATAAACTAATTACCATTGCGGGAGCTAAGCAAAGCAGGCGGCAGTGGTGCGCGAAAACTATAGCAACAACAGCAATGACGATGACGGCAGTGCCTACCATGCGCAAGTTACCCATTTGAAAGTGACCAGCATGCTGCTTTCGTGCAAATCTCCGGGCGATGGGGTGTATAAAACTGCTTCCTAGTCACTCGGTTAGGCACAGTCCGCAAACAGTCCTCGTCCGATTCAGATCAACCCGGAGGTTTGCAGCACTCAATAGTTTCAGCAAGTGTCTGTTTTTGCTTTGCAAAGTCAACCAAATCTTACAATGAAGGCTTTCGTAAGTAGTTCCGAGTGATTAAGTGTTTTGATAGTGACAATAAGGACTCTCAAGTGAAAACCATAAGAATATCAAGTGAATCAGTTACTGATTGAATGTTGTGTTTTTCTGTTGATCTTTCCGATCGTTTAGGTGTTGGGATCAGTGCTGCTCATGGCTGCGGTCTGCTCCGGATCGTACGTTCCTGCCGATACCCCTGAAGTCGCCGCTGCCAAGGCTGCTCACTTCGCTGCCCACGCCCATGTCGCTGCCAGTTCCGGTCCAGCTGGTCACCATTGGGACCATCATGATGCCCCAGCTCAGAAGTGGCACGGACCCATCCACATCCCGGTGATCCACAATGGTGTCCCAGTTGAAACCCCTGAAGTCCAGCACGCCAAGGCTTTCCATGCTGCCTCTTACGCTAAGGTTTCTTCCGGATACGGTCACCATGCCCCAGCCCCACAATACGGCCCAGCTGCCCACGCTCCAGCCCATAACGGAGCCGGAGCCTGGCATGGACCTCAGCACGTCCCAGTGATCCACAATGGAGTCCCAGTCGAAACCCCAGAGGTCCAGCACGCCAAGGCCTTCCACCTGAACGCCCTGCATAACGCTGGTGCTCACTCCGGACCTGCTCCATGGGCCGCTCACGGTCATGGACATGAGGATGATGGCTCTTACAAGCCACACTTGTACGAGGTTGAGCACTATTAAGCCACATTTCCACGAATGCCAAACAACCCTAGGAACTAGCCAAATGTTAAATACTCATCACTCTGTCCATGCCTGATGCCTTCGCGACTATTGTAAAAAGCATTTCACACACCACGTGCGTCAAAAATTCGCTCAACTATTGAGTGCCAAGTAGAATTGTCAAAACAAAGGAAGAGTGCTCCCACTGCCGTCACACCATAACAACATACGGGTGACAATCTTCGACTCAACATCCTGATCGAAGTAGGCCATGCCTTTAGTCACCAGTGGGAGTAGCTTCAAACGAATGCACAGATCGATCGAAGACTAATTTAACCGAAACAATGTCACGAGCAACACCAATAACAACAACAACCTCAATAATAATGATAGATATGTGAAGATAATTACGCTCTGTAATGATCTTGTTGTGATCCCTTAACGCGCAGTGTACGCATTCTGTAAATGATCTTGTTAATTAAACGATCCTGAACTGCTACTTGCAAAGCAAATGATTTAAGGAATCTTAATTCACGTGCTTTTTTTTTTATTAAGTATTACATTGATGACATTACTCGTTCTCCTTTCGACGGTGATAAGTTTGCTGGGAAATCTGGTGGCAAATCTGAGACTCTTTTAAAAGCTGGTCAATATATCCAACACGTCCCGAAAATCAGGTGAAGAAAAGTGGACATCGGGGAAAAAAAGTCCGCGCGATTGTAGCGAAGGATTTTGTTTTTCTGCTGGTGTCAAATTTGGGTGGAAAAGTGCATTCAACTTCAAATGGTGTGCTTTTTCCGGGAAATTGGCATTTCCTCCCATAGAGAATATGTATCTGGGGTGTTTGATACACTGAAAATGTATTTTTTTTAATTTCTCTGAAAACCGTTTCGAAAAAATGAATATCGTTTATAAAACACACATTTCATAAATGGTACGAAACATTCGTTTTTCCTGTCATCTGGCGCAATGCCTTATTCATATATTATACAAAATCAACTTCGCACAATCAAGCCAACAACTGCGCTTCTTGTCTCCTAAAGTGCTGATTGTGTATTGAAATATTGTTGCAAGCTGCCACAATAAATCATATTATTGGTCGCGGTGGTTTCGTGTCCCGGACAGAGAATAAAAAATACGTGCAAACAGCAGAAAAAGGAAACGCAATTGAACTACCGTTCTATGAGTGCTTCTTATTTACCTTTAGCCTAACTATTGTAGCACAAATAGAGCGAAGGATAAAGCACAAACCTATCTATCGCAAGGTTTATGATACGAGTTTTTTTTTTTAATTTTGACGTAGGACTACGTCTGTGATTTCTATATGGGGGTACACTTTGTGAAAATCGAAAATGGAACATGTAACAAAATTATGAAAGATTTTGAACGTTAATAACTCAGCTGCCCCTGGACCAATTTCAATAAATTTATGACCAATCGATCAGAAATATTTCTACGCACCTGTTAAATTTAAGACTTTATCATTTTTCAAAATGTCACTATTGAAAATTGCATAATTAAAATAATCACTGATTGCATGTGAAACGTGATTTCCCTAACACAGTTTTAAAAGTTGAATTCCGGAGTTTATTCAATCACCGCGTGGTGAGTGATGGTGTTCTCCAGTTCATAACGATAAGTTGCCTGCAAGCAGCGAGCTGCAGCCCGCATGACCATCCATAGAAGAAGGAAAAAGCCGCACAGCTATTGATCGGAATCAGCAGCTCTTCGTGAGTTGCTAAAGAGTATAAACAGAGAGAACCCCGCTCAAATTCCTATTCCTACACAAAACACAAGCTCCTGCTACAGTTAACAAATAAGATCAATTATATAAAACCACGTAGTCCTATGTCACTATTGCGTACAACACCATAGGGCTGTTACTTGTAGTTTTTGTCATGTTAATTCCTTCCAATGATGAAGCTATTTTTACCCATCCTCACTAACACACTCCACATTTTTCGGTCTCCACAACCAACACTTGTGGCCCACTGGTTGGGTGTAGCGATAGCGAGTGTGACAGTTCTAATAAAACTAGCTTCATAATTTGTTGTTTTTTTTTCCTTTGGTTTGTTTTGCGTCGATCTTGTTTTTCGTGATGAGCAACAATGCTACCGACGCCAGGAAGGCAGCTCCCACACCTGGACCCTACCTATCGATCCATGAACTCATGAACCGGGGACCAACGGCTTTACTTTCCCTCCGAAGGAAGTCGTGATCAGAGATGTTATATCTCAGATTATCCCGGCGGCGCCGACTGGGATTGAACCCAGGCCTGCTGGGGTGAGAGGTAATCACGCTTACCACTACACCACCGGCACCGCTTAGCTTCATACAATGTACAAATCAATTTCGTTGCAGAAAAGAACGAATAAATTCATAGAACAAACGAGTGATTTCGTTGAATAAACGATAATTCTATTTTCAGTGAACTACTGGCTATTTCTCCCATCAGTACACTGAAAAAAGTGTTCACTTAGTTTCTTTTAGGAAAGCACATAATATTTTTTTCCAAAAACAAAAATAATTATTTCTACCTGAATATCACATAACATCAGAAATTCTATGTGAGTGATCATACACCGAAAATAGTTTTCATCAAGCTTCCATTGGAAACGAACATGATTTTCATCCATAATCAAAATTAATGGAATTCATCTGAATCTTACATAACATTTATGCGATCATATTAGTTTTATATGATTTTTCATATAAATTTCATGTGATCTTGTGATTGGATTTGCTGCTATGTGATCACACAAAAGCTATGTGAAATTCACACGGATTTCATCCATTATATATGTGATAAATTGTTTGAGTGTATGGATTCCATTGGACACATAACGTTCATGTAATTTAGTGGTGCAATGTCCAAATATAGGATCACATGAAAATTATGTGAAATTTTCATATATTTCCCACTGGTTATGTGATTTATTTTATGAGTGTGTATATGCGCGTGCAAGGAAATCTAGAGAAACATTTGAAATGTGCCTATGTCCAAAACGTAAACAAATCAGGTTTTAAAACCATTCTATAGCACCACTTGATAGCTACTAATCGTGTGGGAAAGCTCCACATAATCGATGAAAATCATTAAAAATAACTCGATTTTCGAAACGGTCGATCAAAGAAATTTTTCGATTCATTAATAAACCATTAATTTTTTTTTCTTTTCATTGATAAGCCTAGTGACGTAGAAGGGCCGATGATTGAACATTTACAAACCAAAGCTAGGCCCTACTGCCTGATACAGGGCCGATGATTTGTTTTGAATTTATTTGACGTTGCGAAAAGGCTTAGCAAGGGTGTACAATAGATTGATGCAACTCCACAGTGCTTAAATGGTTTCAAATCGGGTCCTGACTAGCCTCCCAAAGTTACAACTCATTTGGTTAGAAACAGACTTCGCACAAGCCATTTTAAGTTTACATGTAAATTACTATGGGGAATCTCAACTTTTTGTTCATTGCCCTCTAGTCTTTTTCCATATTGAGCTGCGAAACAGTTCGATAGCCATTATTAAAGAAAATTTTCTCAGCTACAACTTTGCTGAAGATCGTTTCTATGTAAAACGAGACAGGAAAAAGTTATTAATTATTTAAGAGATTGGTAAACTTATGACATGATCAAGCAGCTGCTCTGTAGGCAACACTGTATTTTGCAGTGTGACATAGTAGTCATGATTTTTGTGTCCTATTCAACGCCCCAGAAACACCAATGTTGCCTGCTGAGCAGTTGATTGAGCATGATCATAAGACATCAGCGCATTGAACCATTGATAACTTTCGATTCTTGCATTTAATCAAAAAGTGGTCTTGAGCTAAGTTGTAGCTGGGAAAATTTCTTACAAGTACAGTTGAAATCTTTAGAAGCAGACCGATATGGTGAATTATTAGATAGACATGAACAAAAATCTTGGTTTTGCCATAGTAATTCCCATACAAACTTCAAATGGTTTGTGCCATTTCAGTTTCTCACCAAATGGGTTCAAATTTTGAGAAGTTATTCAGGATCCGATTTGGAATCGTTTAAGTATTGTGGAGCGAAAATTTCATTCATCACTCTAGTGTACAATTTCTGATGACAGGCTTAACAAAAACGTATTCTGCTTTCGTCGATGATAAAGAGATCGTTGCTTGCTTCCGTGTGGTCCTCGAGATAGTATTACCATAGACTTCGAACACATAACCACTCATTTGGAGACGAAACAGCCCCAGGGCTGAAAGTCTCCTTAATAAAGATAAAAAAAAAAAAAAAAAAAAACAAAACATAACCACTCGTCGAGTGACGGTCGACAACGTCACAGCGGGTCAGCACCTTCATCGCGACGATATTCTAGGCTAAGCTGCATGGTCCCACGCAGGTAACGCAACATTCGCTTCAAACGACCCCAATGCACATTGGTTGCGTCACTTTGGAAACGACTCAGAATGTCAGAAAAGTCAGGGCACGACGATAGCATCAGGTTGGTCAAGCATCCTATGAGCTCCCGGTACGGATGTTGAGTCGCTTCCTCGCCATTCTTCCTCCTCTCCAACTTGAGATTGGCGTCCAAAGGAGTTTAAGCTGACTTACAGCCAGTTATGCCGAAACACTTCAAAAGATCCAAAATGTATTTACTTTGATTCAACAGCAACATACCTGCAGCCACGCTGTACTGAACACGAAAGCCCAAGAAGTTTTTCAGCTCTTCCATGTTGTCCATCTCAAATTCTTTTGGCAATCGTCGTTTAATCTGTCGTATTTTTTCCAAGGAACTTGATGCCAAGATGATATCGTCGACGTACAAAACTAGATACATCTCAACACCGATCATGTTCCTTGCTTGAGCTTGAGCTTGAGCTTGATTGACCGCCCACGGTTGCTACTCTGCTATTGCCAGATCAGCTGTAATTACACAGAGAACCAATAGACGATGCTTGGGACTAGCAATCATCCTCAATGTGCAAAAACTGGTGATCTTAAATTAGGCAATACCAGTGCCGGCCGCGCCTGAACACGGGTCAAGAAAGGAATGGGAAGGATTGTGTTGACATGACACTCGCTTTGATGGAAGCCGAGAACACCTCTGCACTTCCACGAAGAATCACTGGGATGTTGGATAAGAGGGCTGGATTTGCAGCAGGGTTCGTCTTGCTGAATTGATGTCCTAACGATCATATAACGCGAAGGAGCTTGGGACTAAACCCACGGTCTTCTGCTCAGTAAGCAAAAACGTTTGCCACTAGGCAGACGAGCACCTTTTTAATCACCGAGTTGCTGTTATTACCATGTAGTCATATTAACAAATAAAACGATTGACGAATCTTGAATGTGGATGGGCCTGAGATTAGACTCATGATGTTCTGCTCAGTAAGCAAAAACGGTTGCTCTAAGGCCACCGAGCCCCTCATATCACATAATACCGTTGCTCAAATTTGTGTATCCATTCAAACCCGGAACCAACGACAACAACGAGTTTCGCAAAATACACGATACACAAGCGATTTTACCATAAATCTCTTTGATATGTAAGGACCTGGGACCG